GGGAAGCAGTCCTCCCCTCCCGGTTGCGCCACCACTGATGGAGGGCAAAGTCGGCCGCTCGCTGTCGGCGCCCGGACCGCGTGTCTCGCTTACTCTGGCCTCGGACCGGCGCAGGTCGCTGACGACATCAGTGTCTGACCCGGACGTCAGATGGAGGGGGAGGGGGTCGCCTCCTACCTTTAGCGTGTGAGGGCGGCGCCCCGAGCCGCCGGTGACTTCGGCTGCGTGGCCACGTGCCCGGCCGAGTCTCCGCCGTGGCCGCTGCCCCCTTCTCCGCTCCACCGGGCCGGCGCCGTCAGGCTACTGCGACCATGTCATGTCATTGGGGCCTTGCGACGCACTCAGCTGCTGAGGCTATATAGCTTCGCCTGCCTCTCACCTTGGCAGGAAGGGCGCGCACCGTGGGGAATCGAACCCCGTACCTCTGGTTTCCCAGACGCGCAGCGGTTAACACAGACGCGTTAACCACTACACTACCGGCGCCCCGCTACCGTGATCGCCCGCCGTGGTTTCCAAATAGCTCATTTTCAGTGACCGAGATTTGCTAGTGAGTGCACTAAGCCGTCAGCATCGATCTTGCGAGCTGGCTGCCAGGAACGCTGTCATCAAATAATTGCGGGTGTTCGAAACAGATTAAGACTGAGATTAGAAGCCAGCATTCAGTGGCTGTTAACGTCTCCTCGGTTTTGGAACATCTGAAACGTGGAAAAATCTGGCGCGGACTCCTGCGGTGGGAGGGCATTTCCTTGAACCGAATAGAGAACTAAAGGTCTCTTGCCATAATGTTGTAGACGATCCGTAACATTGTTCTGTCAAAATCACTGTCATCTCAAAGGTCAGAGACATTTCAGAATGCATAACTGCTACCACCGTTAATGGACCTCCTTTGAGATTCCCAGCGCGGAATGGATGCAATAGATTTGGGTCAGAACGGGACATTGAAACAATGTCTCGGTATGTCCGTTCTAATTGGCAATCAGCCAGACTTCGTTCGATATATTGACCGGGAGTAACTGAGTCACCAGCACGAAAGCCCCATCGCACCACCGCAGCCCGCAGAGGAGCACCACCCGTCCGCTATCCATGCTCTTGAAGCACAACATTCAAGACCTACGTCTCACGACGCCGCGGACTTCTTCGCACGGCCCGCGAGCCACGCGGCGTTGTTTGACGGCGCCCGTGACAAGCAGGTTGGGCTCGTGAGAGCTCTCATTAGATACGCTGTTGGAAGCTGACTCCATGCCCGATTCAGGACAACTAAGCTCTTCCATCATGCTGCGGGAGAAACACTGATGCACTTTGGCCGTGTATTGACAACAAATAACGCGGCGGGTCCATTCGGAGGTCCGAGCCGGCACATAAAACAACCATAAAATAGACTCACAGATCGCTACTTGGAATGAACGGGGAAAACGAGGATTTGATGAGTCAGTAAAAGCACAGAGGAGACATTCAACAAATGACTTTGATATGGTGTTTAAGGCGGCCCTGGGTGGCAAAACTTGTCGCACGACATCTGGGAAATAGCTGACAGAGAATTCCCGCTGAACGGATGCCGAACCGCCTGAAGCCGAAGCAGGCCTCGCCATCTGCGCAGATAAATACACATGTAGCCAAATGGAAGGCTATTGATCGGCGCTGTGTGTGCTCAGTAGATTCGTGTAAACAAGGAGCGATGTCGCGTCAGGTCAGCCCTAGAAGCGAGCTTCGCAGCAAACAGCGAGGCGTCGTCTGCGCCCGCACCTGTTGTGGGCGCCACCCTGCCCAGGCCGACCAGCGCTATCGCTCCTCGCAATGCCGCTCTCATTGCGTCGCCCGCCGACCGGCGCTACGGAGCAGCAGCGGCGGCGAAGTCGGAAGTCGCCGAGGCGCGGCACCGCGGGCCTGGACGGCCGGGCGCAGGGCGGTGTCGGTCCCGCGGGAAGGCGATGGAAGCGATACGAGTCTCGGTGGCACGCGCCGCGCCGGCTCGATCCTGCCGATACGCTGCTGCGATCGGAAGATACGCGAAGGCCAGGGTCGACGCGGGCCGGCCTGCGCGGCCCGCGATCCGGCCGACAATGGCCGTGGGGGCCTGAGACCCCTCCCACGCGACGGCCAGCTGGAACGTGCCGTGTCGGGTCCGGATCCGCACCTCCGCAGAACCGGGGTTTGGTGGGAGCTGGCTGTCAGGACCCTTTGTTTCCAGACTTTGGATGGTGGGAACCAGCTGTCCGCCCCGACCGGCACCACTGGAACCCAGGCCGTCCCGCACCGGAGTGCCACGACACACTTCCCATCCCCCCTCCCCGACCCGAAGCACTACAGCTCCTGGCTGTGAAGTCACGCGGTCGGTGTCATCCACGGCGAAGGTCCTTTTTGGAGAGCTTGGGATGACTTATAGCGATATGGGGCTTATCATGGGCAAGACACGCGCTGTGCTCCTGGTACTTCAGCATTGTGGGTCTAGATCTCTCATACATGAGCTCTGGCGATGTAATCATTGTTTATTTTATGACGTCGTTTACCAGTACCTCCTGGTTTGCTGAATGTCGTATATCATCAGCATACGGATTCCAAACTTGCATTGTCAATTCTTGGACTGTTGCGCTGCATAAAGTGTTGCTAAGAGTGTTTTCAACTCAGGTGCTGTCCATCGCCAGGGCTGAGCGTTCCTCACCCTGGGATGCGACAACGCTCTCGACATTCTGTTATGGATGGAGATAACGCCAGAGCCTCATCCTGCGGCGGCACATCTGCGCCAACCAGGTACAAACGACATGCTATCAATTTGCTCAAAAAGTGCTTCGAGCCATTCATGAACATGTTTGACGCCTTTACTGCGCAGTGTTATGTCGGCTGCGCGCTGCCCAAAACCACTTCATGGATGTGTGCCAAGTAGATGTGTACCAAGACAGAGGACATGCCACGTCCTTATGCTGTGATCCGCGTCGGGCAAGGATCACCCTACCAGGCGCTACTGAGTCTCGACTGGTGTTGTTTCGCGCAGCAAACCAGCTGTCCTCTTAAATCATCACTATCGCTGCATACCAGCAAACGAGATGTGACGGCGTTCGTATGAAGATGCCAGGCTGAAGGTGCATGTGGCCTCCATCAGCCAGCTACAGAACAGAGCCATGTTTTGCCGCGCCACCCAGGTCGCATGATTGACAGGGCCGTCGATGACATCGGTGACAGGTAACTGGTTTGGCCGTCGCCACTTTTTCCTGTCAGGGATTCACATGGAACAGCGTGCCCACGTGATACGAATCTACATTCCTTATGACTACCATGCGCAGGAACATTAACAAAGCTGCGAGCGAACGTACGACAAACAACAATAGGGCGAGCAACGAAGTGCCATTAACATTATCATGAGCAAGAAGTTATACAGATGTTGACCTACGACATAGTCACGATGAACGCCTCAAAGGACACCTTCATAAAGATGACACGCTTTGACTTCTCACATCAGAATGGGGCAAGGGGTGCGGGCGTGCTGTGGTTTGTTGTGTGTAGATATAATGGAATGTATATATATATATATATATATATATATATATATATATACACTTTTTCATCCATGTCAGATAACATCAGCTGTTCTCTCAACAATACACATCGCCTGCGAACCGGGCTAATATCTATGTACGGGTACGCGACACATGTTATGATGCCCACGCAGTGCACAACTAGGAACCATAGACACAAGATGGACGATGCTCGGCCAACTTCGCTAGTGATAAAACTACATACACGTGATGGTGACACAGTGACGTGTTCATGCCAACGAGGGACAACGAATGAAACGTTTGTAGAAGACCGAGATGATCGAGCACTCCGTAAACGAAATATCCCCTGGAGAGCATCCGACAACCTCAGCAAGGAGTTCCCGTAATGGATGTAAGCCTACAGAGCGAAACCCAAGGATGTCATTAAAATGCGCCGAACAACAGCGCAAAATCCGTACTCAAGCGTGCGTAAAAGATCGCATGAAAAGATTATTTGACATGAGTTGGAATGCCACCAGGTTATTAAGTTTTTCACGCCTGTGTGACACAATGAACTGCCATGGACAACGTTCTTGGAACCCTCAGCCCCATTGCATTTCGAGTAGCCAATTATTATCATTAGTGGCGGTGCTAATTAGAGGTGGTACTCAGGGGCATCACTTTTTAAAATCGGCCGAGGAGCTGAACCAATAAAGTTTACCTATCCTGCTCTCAAATTTTGATTTCTGCTTGGATTTCGGCCACTTTGATTTGCGTATCTCATGTCAAAGAAAGCTTTTGTTTAAGGGTTCGCTTTCAAAACTGTGCTGATGCCGAGGAATTACTTCCCATTTGAAGCCGGCAGGACAGTGATAACGGTTATATATGTCGATGATGATGTAGATAGTGATGCCTTTAATCTAAGTGTATTAGCAGTTCAGACACTTAATGAATTTAATTGGTTCAGTATTTTATTTCATTTTTTGCTCATATGCATAAGGGACTCAGAACAGCATTGAACAGGCTCTACTCAGCATTGGGAGATGAGGGCAAAAAATTATACAAAACGCTACCCCTGGTGGTACTTATTAATGGTAAGTACGGCGCTCGGGTACCGCTAATGCGGTTACGGGGCGTGCAAGCTACAAGGTGGAGGTCGTCGGGAGAGATCATCAAGACCTGCGAGTTCTACGACCCTGCAGCGGAGTGGCGGCGCTGGAGAGGCGCAGCTGCCGGAGAGACCCGCCGTCACAAGTGCTGCTGTCCACACGAAGTCCGACCTGCTACTGCGGCGACTGCACTGCATGCGGTACACATCACCTGAGACCAGAGGAGCACCAGCGTCCACCAGTGAGAGCCCACCAGAGCAGACCAGGCCTCACCACACCCGGCCCGACCAGGCGCGGGACCACGCGATGACGCCGCCACTGTGCGTCAGACTAGTTACGTCAACCTCCAACAGAGGCTAGTTCTGTGCGCCGAGAGGGTGCTGGAGGCTGCCGTCACCACCCTATTCTTCCGAGATGTGACGCGCTGCGGACGCGCTCTCACCGAGCAAGCTTGGCCGGCGCCAACGCAGCCGTCAGATTCATCCCCAAAGAGACAGAGAGTTCGCGAGACACACCGCGTGCCCGCCTTCTGCGGACTCTCGCAGCTCGCCCGCGGACTCTCGCAACCCGCCCGCGGACTCCCGCAGCCTGTCCATGGACTCCCGCAGCCCGCCAGCGCCGACCCCGCGCTCGAGAGCCGCCGTCGGCCACCGGCCTGCACCTCACACGCAGTCGGCCCGCCCGTTGGTGCCGCCCTCGCGGATGACGTTCGTGGTGCGGTCCAGGCTGTGCACCCGCTCCAGAGGCCACGAGCCGAGCGCGGTGGCCGCCTCGTGCGCGCGCGCGCCCCTGCCCAGCACCGAAGCGCAGCTGCTCTGGCGGCCGTAGCGACTCGCGGCAGGGCCGCCTGGTGAACCAGCCGCCTCGGCTCGCAGCACGCTGTTCAGCCGAGAGCTGGTGGTGGAGGAAGCCGTGTTGAACGTGCTTTGGCGGCTGAGGTGGCGGCCGGCCGGCGGCACGCCCAGCACCTTCAGGAACGCCTCGCGGAACTTGGATGACATCACATTGTACAGGATGGGGTTCATGGAGCAGTTGATGTAGGTCATGATGCGGCAGAAGAAGTTGATGTTGTGGTACAGCTCCCAGCCGAGGCCTAGAATCTGCTCGTCAGGAGAGATGATGATGAAAAGCCGGAACACACAGGACGGCAGCATGCATAAGAAGAAGCAGACAATGACGGCGATCAGCATAAAGACGACCTGCTTGCGTGCGCGGTAGTTGCTGGTTTCTGCGCCGTTGCGCGGGTCGTGACTGCGCGAGATGCGGAAGTTGGACTTCTCTGTGCGCGGCTCTCGTATCAGGTGCAGCGTGATGACCGAGTAGAGCACCAGCAGCACCAGCACCGGCAGGAAGAAGAACGTCACGTCCTTCGAGATGTAGTACAGCTTGTTCAGCGTAGTGTGCGCCATCGTGGTACAGACGGGCACTTTCGTGCTGTCTGTGTAGTCCACCATGTTGTACTGCACTATCCATAAGATCGGACTGCAACGGAAACGTAAACGTCAGACACGGAAAGACATTTCGACGGGACGCCACAGACACAGAACCCGGGACAGGGGACGGGCTACCCATTTATCGTACCAGTGCAATGCTGGCTGCAGTCTTTCGCACGGAGAAGCCGGACAGCTGTTCGATCCAGATGTTTATGACCTTATCATGCAGTCAGCTCAAGTCCGCCTCTGACCAATGACAGCCATCGCGGCTGGTGAAGGGAGATCGTACGTGACGCTTGTCAGGAGTAACATATCGCAGCTGATGACGGCCGGTGATATGTGCTGTGGTCACGAACAATATATCGCAGCCGATGACGGGAGGTGATATATGACAGAGGTCACGGGTAGCATTACCAGGGGTGGAAAAGTTTCCGATGTACCGGACGTGATTGGTGAAAAAAATGAGCATTTTTGCGACCTATTTGGTGACAGAATTGCAAAAATGTGAGAAGATTACAACAGACCGTCCCAGTCAGGCCAAACTAAATGTTTGGTATTGGTGTACACTCACAGCGTGAACTTGCGTGCAGCATATGTAAAAAAAATTGCAGTTTTGCTGTATGACCAAGTAAAGCGACAGATTACTTCTAAATAAATATGTTCCACGCACCGAATTTTCAGGGTCCCGTCCGGTCCAGACAGATTGCTTCTAAATACTTGTGCTCCACGCCCCGAATTTTCAGGATCCCGTCCAGTCTAGCCCGGTTAGTCCAAATCCAATCCGTCCATCCGCTTTTTTTTCGCACATTTCCAACCAATCCGATCCGGTCCTCCTCCAAAAAATATACCAAGTGAATCCGTGTCAATTCGTTCCCGCATTAAGGGCTTTTTGAGATTTTAACAACAAATTTGGTTCACCTGAGTATCTTGAATTTAATGAATTTGCTGCTTTCCACCGAATACAAAATTGTTTGATGCCTGTCAGGAAAGCAATTTTGCATAAATATGATAACAAACGATGCTCATCATGTTATAAATCATTTCACAATCATTTTGGCGAATAATTCACAGGCATCACCACAGGGTAGAAACCAAAAGCTTTTCTGGTTTTATTAGGGTAAAGGTATCAGCACATTAACTCACATTTTCAGAGTTCAGGTTATGTGCAACATACCTATACATGTCATTAGGCACTTCCAGCCGTACCCAAATCATAAGCGCAGGACAACACTCATCTAATACTCATTCAATAACTAGAACAGCAACAGACATCGATTTGTAATCTTTTGTGAGGACCATGTCCCACCTCCCCCCCCCCCCCCAACGTTGAGATGAGCCCCAATGCTGGCTTGCCCACACTCCCACCAAATACCATTGGCTGGCATATCACAAAAGTGAAGGAAAAAGTTGGCCATCACATAAAGACCATCTTTTTTATCCTCCCTGGAAATGGCGTCGACATGGAGGGCGCATTCAACATGGGACATTAACCCGACTCCGCAAACTCTTTTTTCCTCAAATGAGAGGGAGCTTTTGACATGAGACTGTAAGCCATAATGTATTTGATGATTGTGGTTTGTTTTGCCCCTCAAACGTGACCCCAGACGTTTTTTCTTACTACATACCAAACATGGCATTAACGCCACTGATTCCCCGGTCTCGTGGAGACTTTCACGCCCAAGGACCTTTGATGCTCTACTTATGGTGAGTTGCGACTCTTGCATTGGTTCATTTGAAGATGAGTTCCGATTTGTTTTGCGATGAATTCTGATGAAAAACGATTCGGTTGACATGTTTGGTTTGAGGTAAGGAGGCGTAGCGTCGTTAGGTCGGATTATAGGCCCAGTTCGGCTACAATGGAAAACGGAAATTTTGCTGGGACTTATTTTTCTTTAGTCATTTTTTCTGTGCTGGGCATGATTTATCGCTACCACTCCGACAACACCATCCCATCATTTTAAGCTATGTTCAACGGATCCATTTCGCCTCGGCCCGTTATGTAACTAGCACGAAAGGACCTTTACCGTGCCATGCGGCCGCACGACTGCCGTCCGCTCTGCAACTAGGCTGACACTTTCAAGCCTACGGTCAAATGGTCCTCTGTCAGGCAATATGCGAACATTTAATCTGAAAGGCAAACCTGGGCGAACCTACCTCCTTATGTTTCCCAACATCAGTAAGCGGTCAGTTTAACATCAGCGTTCTACCGAAGCTGGGTTTCCGCCACGACCACTGATTTGTCTTCGCGGCAATATGCGTACTTTTTGCGAGCATTTTACGCATTGCAGCAAATGGGTTCATAGAAAGGCGACGTCCTTAAGCCGTTCATTCACTAACTTTTCGTTCAGAGATTTCACCTGTGACCTAGAAAGCAGTCATGCCTAGTTAACCCTCGCCCTAGTTCGCTATTTTCGCGGACTGATGAGGTTACGATGCGACCCCCTGGCGTCTCCACACTTAAAAAGATAAAGCGTAGCACATATAAACATAAAGGGTAGTGTGCTGTGCTGAATACGATCTCGCGATTTGTATTGGCTTTTACGTTTTTAAGTGAACAATATATTCCATTATACCCGGTCAAATATCAAATTTTCCCGACAATGCACTTTCCAGCTTTACAATATTATGTATACAACTTCATGCTTCGTGGTTATTTAAAACCTCAACAGCTGCGACGAGCGGCGGGACTCAGGTCTGCCGCAGTGGCGTGCTGAAGGGGTGGAGGCCGTTCTTGAGATAAACAGGGGGAGGGGGGGGGGGGGAGACAAATCTGCCCTCTAATTAATGGCATGCTACTGTGGAACCCGGTCAACGTTGAGTCAACACCCAGACAATTATCATGGCAAAGTGTGGGTTTATGCTACAAGTGTTTTACGCCTTGCCCTTTTTCTTACGAATTCGTGATGTGTGATCATTAGCCCAGACTCGTAGCTAGAACACGCGATGTGGTGTGCGTGAATATGTCCTTAACTGGAAAGCGGATAAATGATTTGGGCGGTTATGCCATGGGCGCTACCCAAATGCCACTTTTGAAAGTCGCGATCTTGTTCCGCGAGCGTCGTTTAAATCAGAACTGTTGCGAAACCCTGAACAAGTTCGTCACATGACGACATAGTCTCAGCGCCCAAAGTCCGTGATATTCAAACAACCCTACAAACCACGGCCCGTCACGCGTACATGGGTCCGCCATCCATGTAACCCAGGCTTTTTCATAGGCTACCCAGCGCTGGATTTCTGGTTGTTGGTTCTAGATCGGGGAGTACATGTTTTCAACGCGCGGATTTTACAAGTTCAGAAATTCCCAGTCAGGACAGTGATTACTGGTGAGTGTATCCTGTGATGACACATCGCTCTTACTTTTTCATTTAAACGAGTCTGTAAAAGTCGCAAGCCAAATACAGATAACCTTCAGTATGTGTTCTTAGTACGTGTTCAGGTGGGGGGGGGGGGGGGGGGGGGACTAAATTTGACCCCCCGAAGGTTTCTACATGATGATTTTTCAACCACGTGACGTAACCGCACCAAACTTTGCACAGTTGTAGGCAAATGAATAGCAGATCTTTTGATTTCTGATAAATTAGATTTACCGTGTAAGGTCGATGTTCTATGACAGGTGAAAGTTAGACCATGACTGTCAACGAAGGCAATTTCAATGGAAATGCTTAATCTTATGTGACAACGGAGTGTTAGATCAAGCTATAATCTCTGAGATAGTTTCTTAGGCAATAAAGCCGTTGAATTAAGGATGCCAACAAACAAACTCCATTGACCTAGGATCACGTTTGATGGTAGGACCGTGGTCACAACACTCGGAGAGATTTTTTCTGGGTCCCCTCTTGACTGAAGAGCTTGTTTTATGAGATAGTTTTTGGTGATTGGTTCCAATTTATTGATAACGGGACCACAGCTCACATCTCCCATGTACCTCTTTAAGGTTGAAGTAGGCCGCTGACTCAAAGTGCCTTATCAACCATTTGTTTTTGGGAACGTATGGTCCAGCCTACCACTAATACTTATGCAATTTTTTAAAAATCAAAACAATCTCGCAGGTATTTGGTCATTACGGTATTCTAAAGGTCAAATATGGTCGCTTACCTAAAATGAACACCAGTGAACATTTGCTTAAAATAAGTATCTCGGTTCAAGGCCGTTGCGTGAGAACAGGAAGCACTTCGGCCATCAATGTTGAGTTTGATCTTGCTTGACCTTATTTGCCTCAAATGGCATGGCCCATGGATCTCCAATTGACCCCCACCAGCAAAATATTCATCCGACCATGCGGGTACGTGTAAGTAAAAAATGTCTGTATTTTTAGCTATATAATGCAACAGTGGTGCCAAGTGTGATATCACGCGGGCTGACCGCTGGCGGAATGGGGCAGTTGTACAGAGCATCACACCATACGGGACGTCAGCCGGAGGTATGTGACAGCTGTGTCGTGTGTGACATTCCACGAAATGATCGCCGGCAATATCTGACAATGATGTCGGTCCGGAATGGTGTCACACTGGATGACAACCGGCGGAACGTGACGGCCGCGTGGCATCTGGCGACCGGCTGGTGTCCCCTGCCCCGTCGTAAACAGCGATATTATGGCCGGCTCCGGCCGTCGGCTTCAACAGATATTGGCCCCCGCGCTCTCCGCCTCGAATCCGATTCTGTTTCATCCGTCGCAGCATTGACCAAATGTTTGAACTTGGGAAGGGTCGTGGTTCAGGGCTGCGGAGCAGCTCGCATTTGCTCGATAAGGGTGTCTACCGTCCAAACTAACACTTTCATTTCCTCATCACAGCGGCAGAAATATTCATGAAATGAATTTTAATTAAGCTTTGTACTGCAATGACAGCGACGCTAATGGAAAGCGCTTGAGTACAATTATGCTGGTCCAAGACGCGGTAAGAACTTTTTTCCAGTTGTGACTGGCATAAGGAAGCATTCGTCTTCGACCCAGCGCCCTTTGCTTCTGTCTCCGATTAAATCTCGGCAGTGCGCGATGATACCTGAATCCAACCGACGCAAAACTGATGGCAACGTCGCAAGAACAACAAACGAACTACACCACCTTATGCGCTCCGTACTGCGGTTAGAATATTCCATGCCGACACTCGCGGATATTGGGACGATATGTCAGCGTCTTATCATAGTAAATACATCGCTGGTCGATAAACCAATTGTAATAAATCACGCCGGCGTAAAGTATGGCTAATGGTTGTTATTGATGTTGTGGAATGTTGTCAGGTGTTCAATACTATAACACCGTTATGAGTTTTTGTGATTTATTGGGCTACGCCGGGGTCTAAGTGAACAAACGGTTTAAGGTGTTAGACTTGGTATCAAAAGATCTGGGATTCAAATCCCCTACATCAACTTTTACGGACGGCCATCACAGGATAAGCAAAGCAAATGAGTAGTTTCTCATTACAGCTTTGCAGATTATCTTCACATTATGTAGAACACACTAAGGATTTTCAAAATATTTAGAACCTTTCTATTTCAGAGCATAAGGATACCGTTAAATTTTCACATCTTGCCGAGTTGTCAAATATTGACGTTCTGACAGCCTCTGATTTATATTAGCATCCACGGGGTCGCCTTAAGATTTCGCAATAATGCCCAGCTCCAAAGTCCTTACATAACCACAGGCTAGATTGCGAACTATTTCTGCTGCATCAAGCGTTTTGTTATTACCACCGTTAAGAGTTATAGGGACACTGCCTGCCGTGAGTGGCATGTTCGTCCGACGACTTGGGGAACAGAATGCTCGGTCAGAGCTGTTTGTGACCATCTGATATCCGTCATTTTGCTCGCGCGCTGCGAATGACGACGTCTCTCTCTCTCTCTCTCTCTCTCTCTCTCTCTCTCTCTCTCTCTCTCTCTCTCTCTCTCTCTCTCTCTCTCTCTCTCTCTCTCTCTCTCTCTCTCTCTCTCTCTCTCTCTCTCTCTCTTCTCTCTCTCTCTCTCTCTCTCTCTCTCTCTCTCTCTCTTCTCTCTCTCTCTCTCTCTCTCTCTCTCTCTCTCTCTCTCCCTCTCTCTCTCTCTCTCTCTCTCTCTCTCTCTCTAGCTTTCTCTCTTTTTCTCTCTCGCTCTCGCTCTCTTTCTCTCGCTCTCGCTCTCTTTCTCTCGCTCTCTCTCGGTCTCTCTCGCTCTCTCTCTTGCTCTCTCTCTCTCTCTCTCTCGCTTTTCCTCCTTCCCTCTCGCTCTCGCTCTCGCTCTGGCTCTCGCTCTCGCTCTCGCTCTCGCTCTTGCTCTCGCCCTCGCCCTCGCTCTCGCTCTCTCGCTCTCCTCTCCATCCGCCGGCAGCACTGACCTGGACGTGACGAGTGCCGCCAGCCAGACGATCACGATGACCACCAGGGCGCGCATCTTGGTCCATGTGTAGCCAGCTCTCAACGGCTTGCAGATGGCATAGTAGCGCTCCATTGAGATGGCCATGATGGTCAGCACGGAAACATTCACCACGAGTTGCTCCAGGAACGGCACCATCAGGCCTGCAACAAGGCCAGCACGGATTCAGTGACGGCAGGGTGTAGGGGACAACATCCTTGGGTAGGTGATGTGTCCAGGGTCAGCCTCAGTAACAAACCACCAAGGGCCCGGCACCCCCGGTTTGGTCCCAAAAGTCCGCCAGCATAGGCAAATGTAAGAGTGGGGACGGGAGAGGGCGAGGTCAGATTGTTTGCGGACCGCAGTTGGACTCAGTCAAACAAGTTAACTCCAGATTGGTGTCCAGAGTGACCCCAGACCCTCGCATGCAACCACCTCGAGCTTGGATACCTGTCCGAAGCGAATGGTCACTGTTGCTTATTTAAGGTCGGTAACCTTGTGTGACCTTTCAAAGGTCCTGGTGACCGAAATCATGCAAAGCGTCTTTGATTTTTGCATTTGAGGAAGCGATTGCGCAAGGATTGCGCCAAGCAGTATGCCCCCCCTCCCCCACAAAAATATGTTGACGTGGGTTATTCTAGGTCAGTGACCTACCCTGACTTTTAAGAGGTCAATGTTAAGTGTATAATGCGTTTCCCGCTCTCAATAAAGTCAAAATTAGCACCAGACACTACCCAATACAGTAGGCTCTACAGGGATAAAAACCGGTTGGTTTTGACCTTGGTCTTACCTTAATGTCTAAACCTAGATGAACGAAATTTGTGAATCCAATTATTGCATTGTCTAGGAAATTATGACAGAGATGTATGACTTCGTCTAACACTTCACTGTTGCATCACATTAAACGATTCTCTGGAGACTATCTTCACCGAATCCATGGTCTGACTTTGACCTGCCGTAGGTCAGTGACTACAAGATACATCTGAAGTTTTGCTACAAAACGATCTGCTATTCAATTGTCTATGTATTGACGAACTCTAGCGCTGCTACGTCTTGCCGTTCGGAAATGATTCCGAAAACAACTTCGCGGGTGTAAAATTGCCCCCCTCCCAAGCCTGTGTTAAGCCCCTTCTACAAATTGCGACCTATGGCATCGCAGGTAAATGCGTCACCAGGTTTCTAAGGCCTTTGAGTACAGTCCCTTACGTGTGACGTAGCCACTTGTGATGCCATAGGTGGAAACCTCAGGTAGGTATTTTGCCAATGAAAGACTGTACCCAGGTGATGCTGAAAGTTTCGACCTGCCGCCTCGGAGAACAGCCATACCGTCTCCAAACCGCGCAGCCTACATCACCTGTCGAACAGCCCAAACCATCTATCACGCAGATCACATCACATACCCCTACATTTCACTTCACCTGCCCCGCAGCCCACATCACCTGCTTCGCAGCCCGCATCACCTGCCCCGCAACCCGCATCACCTGCCCCGCAGCCCCCGCCCGAGCAGCGGGGACCGATGCGACCGACTTCTGGCGCGCGTATGGGTTTGCGCCCCGAGGCCCCGATTACGTGGCTCGTCAGCGGCTGTCAATTAGCAGCTGGCCAAAAAGGCCAGGATGTAACGAGGCAACCGCGCCACGGTGTTGCGTGAAAACAATAAACGGTTTCCGCGTCAATCGTCCGCTACGTTAAAATCCCTGTACTGGGATGGTGGGTACCAGGTGTTTTAACAGGCTATGCCTAAGAAAGACATTGATTTTAAAGAAATATCTGCGAGATATTTGATTAACTCCAAGAACCCCAAGCAACAGCTGGATAGTTCCAGGCTTCTCCGGGTCCATCAGTCTGCACCACAAACAGAGCTCCGAATGTCCCGGCCCACAGGCTACAAGACCGGCCTGGATGCTCTGAATGCGACTGTCGGATGAAATATGAATGCCGGCTTTCATGTTACACGGCTTGGGCATCAAGGCCGATAATTTACTGCGTAAGATGTCCTTTGATTCGCGAGCTGGATGAAAGAAGGATGATGCAATGAAGATGATCTTTGATGCAACCACCTACACGCAGGCAAGGGAAGGACGCGAGCACATTTCACACATCGTGCAGACCAAGGGCTTGAACCAACCAAATCAGGAGGATTTCACGCTAGTACCATGACGAGGCATCACAAACAATAAAACAAAGCGCCGTTGACGTTTTCACTAATAAGCAGATTATACCATCATTAATTTTTATCTGGCAAGGCGCAACAAAATGCGTCGAGTAAGACGCGCTGAGCACTTCACCATCAGCGGGCACTGAAGTGGGCAGCGGCGCCAGACGGGTTCTTCAGCTCATTTTCTCCAAACGTAATCCAAACGCGGCGATGTGGCATGCTTCCAAGGAGTTCCGTCATTATCATATGAGCGAGAAGTCATAACCGGCGGGTAACTGCAACTGTCATGACATCACGTTTGGTGCCGGAGAGCTAAAACGCCTGTTAGCAAGTGGCAACTCCCTGCAAAGGTTTAAACGATTGCATGCAGCGTTGCAACGTTCGTAGGTCACGATTCGCCGGGCGGCCCAAGTCTCCCAGGATGCCCGTCAGGGAGGCGGCCGGGCCAGACGTGCCGAGAAGCCAGCCACGCGCGCGATCTGCTGCTGATAAATTCGCCGTGAGACAAAGCTCGTTAATTAATGTCCAATCTCCGGCGGAATGAGTCGGCAGCGGGCGGCTGATTTTCGGCCGCGGCGCTCTCTCGGTTCCGTAATCGGCGGCGCAGGCCCAGCGACGACTGGAGGCCGACGGCACGCGCCGACGGCTCCGCCCTTATGACGCAGCATGCCACGCTCGTGCGACACCACGGGTCGACCTGCCAGGTCCAGCCAGGCTAAAAAAGGGCCCGCCGACGCTGAGAGGACTTATTAGAGCAGGCCAACGCTGTGCTTCGAACAAAGCAAACGGCGTCGACGCGCTCGAGCCCGTCCGGGCACCATTGGAACTGGTGTTAATGTGTTGGCACGTGGTATTCGGAAGGAGTGGCGGTAACCCTGGGACGCGGTGAGGCAAGACACCAGACACTGGAGCAGCTTGCGCAGGATGGAATGGCATCACACCACGGCATACACTGTGTGCGGTCTTATCTTTTGCGTGTATCAATGCGCGCTCAAACAGTTGAAGCCTGGCATATAAAAAGGGTAAAGAGGACGCAAGGTCTTCCCATCAGGAAAAAGTCAACACAGCTCGTTAACTGCCATGTATTTTGGCTGGAAATGTTACAGCGGAATGCTCAGACCACATCGTGAATTGCCCAACATCAACAGGAAAGAATAAAGGAGGACGTCTATGAGGGAACAGTCATCTATTACAGTAGCCTTAACATGTTTAGCAGGCTAGTAGCAACGTGACTGATGCACGAAGGTATGTATCAAAGAAATGCGCATCAAGTCACAAATGTCAGATGGAACTGTCGGGAGCGTGTTTGGTGTCTACAGAAAAGCATCGATATTCTTTGGCACCTCAGCCCCAGTGGGGCTGCCACGCATCCTATACAGACCTGTCATCGAAATAATCCGGTGCGAGGCAGATACTACTACGAGTAACTTTACATCGCGCAGGCGTCTGGACAGGGTCCAGCGGCTGGTGGGTGGGAACCTTATCGGAACACGGAGCATGCCTCTTCGGTTTGATCCCAACGGTGGCCTCGAAAACTCACCGCCCCCACCCCGCACGGGTGTCCGATGGTTACACGAAGGTGCGTAGCCGACATTTGAGGGATTGGAGACGTGCTGGGAACGTTGCACGAGGATAATCAATTCAGTTTCCGCGTGGTTAAGAATGTCTCGAAAATTTACCTCTGCTCACATCCCATGTACCGTTGGGAACACGCGGCGTGCGCTCCGGCCACCGCTGGGGACCGCTGGGATATGTTGACAGCGTGCACCCCTTCCCCAACATCCCCCTTCATTACATACGCTGCGTTCGTCATCTCATGAATATAACTGTGGCTGGTGTGGCACGCATGCCGGCAAGTTTCGCAGAAAATGGGGCAGGCTGAGCGCGGCAACAATAAGCACAGCACCATGCCTGTCTTGAGACTACGGCTGCTGTCCTGGCCGCAATCACTCCTTTTCAAGCCCAAATTAGTTGTTAGATAATTTCGAGCAATGCGGCCACAGTATGGAACAAAAATGGCGTATCCTTTTCAGCCATAACTCGGTGTCTGAGGAAAAACAGCCGACATATTGCACATGGCGACCATCTCGCAGGCTGCCATCCTTGCAAGTGACTAAGTGCTTAAATACCATAAAATTGTTAGCACGTACCTGGTTAACTATGGATATCATTCCTTGTGTGAAGGGAATGAAGGTACATCACAGAAACATGTCGCATAAATGTGTAAGCACTTCCGTTCCTTCGCATCGCTCGAAGAAACAGGCGTACCGGTGTCTAATGGCATCCGTTGCCCAGAAAACTTGACGACTAATCCTAAGTCACCGTGCAATTCAGCAGAACCTCATAATTGGTATGTGCATCTCATCACTCACCAATATTCGCCCGCCGTGCCACGCGGCCAGACTGCGGCATGCCCATACTCGTGTTTCTGATACGGTACGCGGCGCTATTCCGATTCCGCGCGCCCGCTCAGCGGCCTACCCATATCGCTCCACAGTCACGTGCCATGGCACTTTTGACGCATGATCAATGGAAGCGATTGAACACCTGGGTACCCAGTATCACCTTGTCTTAACACCCTGGCTAACTGCCGCGCCCGTATCGATTCCGAATCGGAGACGCGTGAGCACGGTGTCGTCCACCTCTGCTCAGCTGGCGCCGAGCGCCAGCGCTGCCTGATGTGCCTTTCAAGAAGCTGGTCCGGCCTTCAGGCTCCCAGTATTCTGACCTTTCCAGGCAACTGAGCATGTGCTGGGGAGTGTGCCCAGATAGACATGGCTGAAACGGGTTTGTGGGACGATGATATATGCATACAATTTATCCCGGCACTGACCGGGCTCCACAGCGGCACACCATTGACAGGCGCTGGCAGATTTCCCCCCCCCCCCCCTGCTTACCTCAAGAACGGCCTAGTCGAAGTAAGAAGATACGTTTGATCGAAAAAACAAACTCTATTCTAAAAATTCTAGTCGAAGTAAAAAAATCCAAATTGCAATCGTGCGGTAC